TGCGGCCCCCTCCCGGCCCCGCCGCCAGCCCGCGTTCCGAGAAGCTCCGTCCCCGCGGTTGGGGCCGCGGGTGCCGCGCCGCCATTTTGTCTCATTTCCACCCCACCCCCCCACACACCGGGGCCGCCCCGGCAACTCCCGGAGCCGCCCCGGCGCATCGGAGCGAGCCGCCTTCCCTGCCTTCCGGGATGCTCGGAGGTCTCCCGCCGCGCTCCCCGCCACCCCGAGCGGCTGCGGGCTGATGGCCGCAGATTATCGCCGCGAAGGGAAAGCATTTCTCGCCCCGCGAGGCGGGCAGAGCGCGGCGGAAGGCATCCCCGGCACGGCGGGCGCTGTGCCCCGGGAATGGCCGCGCTGCGGCTGCCGCAGAGCCCCGCCTGGCACCGCAGATGGCGGCCGCTGCCCAACACCCGCCCGGAGCTGGGGGGGGGGGCTGCGCTCCCGACAAGGAGGTTTTTAAATTTTAACCCAGCCAGGAGAAGGAGTGCGCGTCTGCCCTGCTGGTGGGACGTGCGGCATATTTAAAGTCGTTTGGATGCCACGTCCGTTAGTTCAGAATTTCCAGATAGAAGCGTGAGGTGTGGAATCTGAGACAGTCACAGGCACGGCCAGGATTCGCCTCCCAGAGGGGATCCCTGGGCTCTGAGCAGCCGGAGGGTGCCATCCCCGCAGGCTGGAGGTGCAGCTGGCCTTCATCCCAGCTTGACTTAACGGCCTCTCCTCTCTTTGCAGCTGTTTGCAGACAAGGTTCCCAAGACAGCAGGTTGGTAAAGCAGCACTGGCTGCACTGTGGCTGCACTAAACCCCGATGCTCCCCTTAACGCTGGACAAAAGCAGTCATTCACAGCAATTTTTCCTCTTCCTTTGCAGAAAACTTCCGTGCCCTGAGCACTGGTGAGCAGGGATTTGGCTATAAGGGGTCCTGCTTCCACAGAATCATTCCTGGGTTCATGTGCCAGGTGTGTGGTGCTCCCGCTGCAGTGGGAAGGTGGGCGGGTGAGGAGATCTGGAGCTTGCATGGGTTTTGGAGTTAGATGCTGGCAGATTTGGGGTGGGAAGGTAGATCTTCCTCCTGCCTGTAGCCACTGTGGGGCTGCTGCATCTGGTTCAGGAGTCTTCTGTGCCTGTGACCTGAAACACCACTTATTTGCAGGGTGGAGACTTCACACGCCACAACGGTACTGGTGGCAAATCCATCTATGGGGAGAAGTTCCCCGATGAGAACTTCATCCTGAAGCACACAGGCCCTGGCATCCTGTCCATGGCCAATGCTGGCCCCAACACAAACGGCTCCCAGTTCTTCATCTGCACTGCTAAGACTGAGTGGTGAGTTGGAGGCTGCAGGAGAGTGAGCTGGGGGAGTCCCTGGTGGGGAGGTGACAGGCCTGGCCTGGTATTGAGGTCCCCGTGTGGGGATGGTGGGTTCCAGCTGTGACTCTTGTTTCTTCTGCAGGTTGGATGGCAAGCACGTTGTCTTCGGTCGTGTCAAGGAGGGGATGAATGTGGTGGAAGCCATGGAACGCTGTGGCTCCAAAGATGGCAAAACAAGCAAGAAGATCACCATTACTGACTGCGGGCAGCTCTCATAAACCCTTGTCTTAACAACTGACCATTCCTTCAGCAGCCCGGGCACTGTGCCCTGCTGCAGCTCACCCTGTCCCACCCCACTCCTGACTTACTGCTGCATTTCTATGGGGTCTCGGCCCCATGTGCACGGTCCAACTGGGCTGCAGTTACCTTGTATGAGTCTAAATAAAACGAGTTAAACCACAGTGGCCCTCTTGTCTTACTGGGGGGTGTGGGACTCGTGGGGGAGGAGGGGAGGTGCTGCGGGGGGAAGAGGCTGAGGACACCTGCAGTGTGGTCGCAACAGGCCCTCAGTAGGGTCCAGAGTAAACAAGTGCAATGGTCCCACTAAGGGAGAGTCCTGGTCTGGGAGGATGCTAGGGCTCCCAGTTTAAGCAACCGACTTTGTGGGGAGTTTTATGTTTGGGCAACTGCAGTGGTCCCTGTTGGAGGGGGCAGCAGTCCTGCTTTTGGGGGTGTTCAGCTCTGAAGATTCCCAGTTTGACACAGTCCCAGTTTGGAGTGAGGTGGTCCCAGTTCAAGGCTGCTGAGCTTTAGGATGATCCCAGTGCTTCTAGTTCAAGGGTGGCTGGCGGTACCCTGTGGGGTGCACCTCCTGTCTGTGCTGGGAGTTGTAGCCCCTGGTGCACCCGGAGCTGAGCTGGTGGGGGTTCACATTGGAGCTGGGCTCTGGTGTGGGTGAGCAATTAGGGTGGGTGTGGAGCTCTGGTGCTGGTGGGGCTGCGAGAGCTGTTAGGGGCTGGCAGCAGCTTTGGTACGTGTGGTGTGGGTGTGCATTTGTACTGGTGCTCTTCATGGAATCACCAAATGTTTTGCATTGGAAGGGTTAAAAGTCCACCTAGTCCAACCCTTGTCCTGAGCATGAGCATCTTATGCTCCATCAGGTTGCTCAGAGCCCCATGTTTCCAGGGATGGGGCATCTCCCACCTTTCTGGGCAACCTGGGCCAGGGTCTCCTGACCTTCACAGCAATGAATTTCTTCTTTATACCTAGTCTAAATTTCCCCTCTTTTAGTTTAAAGCCGTTACCCCTTGTCGCATTGTAACAAAGAGTTACAAAGAGTTTGTCCCCATCTTTCCTGGAGCCCCTTTAGGGACTGGAAGGGGCTCGAAGGTCTCTCTGGAGCTTTCTGTTCTCCAGGCTCAACCCCCAGTAACTCTCTCAGCCTGTCCCCACAGCAGAGAGGTTCCAGCCCTCCCAGCATCTCTATGGCCTCCTCTGGCCCTGCTCCAACAGGTCTGTGTCCTTCTGATGGTGGCCCTAGAGCTGGAAGCAGCACTGGGGGGTGGGGCTTCCCCAGGTCCTCATCCACTGAACAGTCCCCCCATCAAATCCATCTCTCCAATTTAGAGACAATGGTGTTGTGGGGGAGCATGTGAAAGGCCTCATAGAAGTCCAGGTAGACAACATCTGTTTGTCGTCTCTTCCTTTGTCCACTGATGTTGTCACTCCATCATAGAAGGCCATGAGGTTGGTTAGGCAGGACTTTGCCCTTGGTGAAGCTGTGTTGGCTACCTTGAATCACCTCCCTGTTTTCCATGTGCCTTAGCATTGCTTCTCGGAGGATCTGTTCCATGATCTTCCCAGGCACAAAGGTGAGGTTGACAGGTTGGTAGTTCCCAGGGTCCTCCTTTCCCTTTTTCCAGTCACTGGGGACTCCACCTGAATTCCATGACTTCAAATATCACAGAGAGTGGCTTGGTAACCGCAGCAGCCAGTTCCCTCAGGAATCTTGCCAGGTCCCATAGACTTGTGTATGTTCAGGTTCCTCAGGTGGTCACAAACCTGATCTTCTCTTACAGCGGGAGGGATTTGGCTCCCCCAGTCCATGCCTTGTGGTCCATCTGCAGAGGTGTTGGGAGAGAGGCTGCCGGTGAAGACCAAGGCAAAAAAGTTGTTGAGTCCCTCAGTGTTCTTGCCTACTGGCTCTAGTGAGGGTGAGGACTCAGAGCCCCTTCGTTGATGGGGCTGTGGAAGCGCTGCCGAGGGACAGTGAGGGCCAGCAACAGTTTTCTCTCCTGGCACCTTCTGTTTGGGAGCCCTGGGTGGTGTCTGTCCTTTTCATGGCTGCATTCTGTGAAGAGTGAGGTGGTGGAGTGCTCACAGGGGTTGGTCGTGGCCCCTGGGGGAAGGTGGCATGGAGGAAACCATTCTGAGCTGTATGAGGCAGGAGAGGGAGGCTTATTGGTGCTGTGCCAGGTCAGGGCTGGGAGAGCCCACAGTCACGGAAGATGTGAGCTCCTCCTTGACCTGCTGATGTTTTCTCCTCCCTCTGCAGCTCTGTGGGGTCAGAAGAGTCCTGTCCCTTCTACGCCCCTTGTGTCATGGCACTCATGCTCCATGCTGGGGTTCTGCTGGGTGCAGCAGCACAGACTGCACCCCAGGAGCTGCTGTCAACCTCGTGCCCAAGCCTTGCAGGGTCCCAGGCCCCTCTGACATCACTTCCTTGGCCTCCTTCATGACCAGAGTGCTTTATTGGATGGCTACAAACTTTTCAGAAGGGACGGGCAAGGAAGGAGAGGAGGTGGAGTGGCCCTGTATGTTAGGGAGTTTTATGAATGTCAAGTACTTAATGACAGGGACAACAGGGTTGAATCTTTACAGGTAAGAATCAGGGGGAGGGCCAACAAGGCTGATAACCATGGTGGGAGACCGTTACAGACCGCTCAGCCAGTCTGGAAGATGAAGCATTCTACGAGCAGCTGGGAGAAATCTCAAGACCACTTGCCCTTGTCCTTGTGGGAGACTTCAACCCACCAGATATCAGCTGGGCACACACTACAGGAGGTTCCTGGAGTGTGTTGGGGGAACTTCCTGACACAGCTGGGGAGGGAGCCAACTAGGGAAGGAGCCCTGCTGGACCTGCTGCTTGTAAACAGAGAAGGACTTGTGGGGGATGTGATGGTTGGAGGCCATCTTGGGCAGAGTGACCATGAAATGACAGAGTTTTCTGTTCTCAGGGAAGCAAGGAGGGGAGCCAGCAGGACTGCCACCATGGACTTTCAGAAGGCAGACTTTGGTCTTTTCAGGAGCCTGCTCAATAGAGTCCCTTGGGAGGGACTGAAGGGCAGAGGTGTCCAGGAAGGCTGGGCGGTTTTCAAGAAGGAAGTTTTGAAAGCACAGGAGCAGGCTGTCCCCAGGTGCTGAAAAACAAGCCATTGGGGGAAAAGACCGGCCTGGCTGAAAAAAGAGATATGGTCACAACTTAGGGGAAAAAGGAGAGTTTATGGCCTTTGGAAAATGGGGCAGGCCACTCAGGAAGGATACAGAGATGTTGTAAGGCTATGTAGGGAGAAAATTAGAAGAGCCAAAGCTCAACTAGAACTTAACCTAGCTTTGAATGTTAACAACAATAAAAAGAGTTTCTATAAATATAGAAGTAACAAAAGGAGGACTGAGGAGAATCTCCATCCTTTAACAGATGAAGGCAGTAACATGGTGATAAAGGATGAAGAGAAGGCTGAGGTACGTAATGCCTTCTTTGCCTCAGTCTTTAGTAGTAGAGTTGGTTTGTTCCCTGAGTACACAGACCTCTGAGCAAGCAGATAGGGGCAGGGAGCAGAATGGAGCCCCCGTGATCCAAAGGGAGGTGGGTGAGGGACCTGCTCCAACACCTGGACATACACAAGTCTATGGGGTTGGATGGGTTCCACCTGAGGGTACTGAGGGAGCTGGCAGAGGTGCTCACAGAACCACTCTCCATCATGTACCAGCAGTCCTAGCAAACTGGGGAGGTCCCAGCTGACTGGCTTCTAGCAAATGTAGCATCCACAAGAAGGAGCAGAAGGATGATCCAGGGAACTACAGGCCTGTCAGTCTGACCTCAGTGCCTGGGAAGGTCATGGAACAGATCATCCTGAGTGCCATTATGCAGTCTCCCACAGTATTCTCCTGGAGAAACTGGCTGCTCATTGCTTGGATGGGAGTACTCGCCACAGGGTTAAAAACTGGCTGGAGGCCAGGCCCAGGGAGTGGTGGGGAATGGAGTTAAATCCACTTTGCAGCTGGTCACGAGTGGTATCCCACAGGGCTTGGTACTGGGGCTGGTTCTCTTTAACATCTTCATCAATGGTCTGGATGAGGGGATCGAGTGCACCCTCAGTAAGTTTGCAGGTTGCAAGTTCTGTTGATCTCACAGAATCACAGAATCTTCTTGGTTGGAAGGGACCTTTGAGATCATCGAGTCGACCACAAAAAAACCCCCCCAAAAACCAAAACACAAACCCCCACAAAAAAAAAACCCACCCAAAACCAACCTCCCCCCCCAAACAGACACAAACAAACAGACACAACCCAACAATCTCGGGCACTAGAGCATGCCCTGAAGTGCCATGTCTACACGTTTCTTAACGACCTCCAGGGATGGCGACTCCACCGCCTCCCTGGGCAGGCTGTTCCAGGGCCTGACCACCCTCTCAGTAAAGTAATTCTTCCTAATATCTGATCTAAACCACCCCTGCTGCAACTTCAGACCATTTCCTCTGGTCTCCCCTTGGGAGAAGAGGACCACCTCTCTACACCCTTCTTTCAGGTAGTTGGAGAGGGCAATGAGGCCCCTCCTCAGCCTCCTCTTCTCCAAACTAAATATGCCCAGTTCCCTCAGCCTCTCCTCAAAGGACAGCCCCCTCCAGACCCCTCACCAGCTTGGTGGCTCTCCTCTGGACACGCTCCAGCAGCTCAATGTCCTTCCTGTAGTGAGGGGCCCAGAACTGAACCCAGCACTCGAGGTGAGGCTTCACCCCAGTACAGAGGCACCATCACTGCCCTACTCCTGCTGGCCACACTGTTCCTGATACAGACCAGGATGCTGTTGGCTTTCTTGGCCACCTAGGCACACTGCTGGCTCATGTTCAGCCGGCTGTCCACCAACACCCCCAGGTCCTTTTCTGCCAGGCAGCTCCAGCTACTCTTCCTGGAGCCTGTAGCGTTGCCTGGGGTTGTTGTGACTGAAATGCAGGACCAGGCACTTGACCTTATTAAACCTCATCCCATTGGCCTTGGCCCATTGATCCAACCTGTCCAGATCCCTCTGTAGAGCCTTCCTACCCTCAAGCAGATCAACACCCCCACCTAATTTGGTGTAGCCGGTGGGGGTCAGTCTCTTCTCCGAAGGAACAGGCGATGGGACAAGAGGAAATGGCCTCAAGTTGCACCAGGGGAGGTTCAGATTGGATATTAAGAAAAA